AAACGTCGAAAAACCTACTTTCATTTATATAGAACACTTCGGCATTTTAATTTTGAATGTTTACAATTCTAAATGTTATCTGAAGATGATCTTTGCCCTTGTCAATAAAAACACTGTTTTACGCTGCCTTGCGTTACGGGCAAACATCGCGAATGATCGATTGATACGAAATGCCAAATGCTGGAATCGCTAAACCTACATTTGTATTCTCATGCCTCACTGGTCTTGAAAAAAGCTAACAATCAATTATCCAAAATGTCTCTGTAATCGGTACCCTGGTTCCAGAGGCTTGTCTTTTATTCTTTTGCTACTATATATGTTTATCGAGCCGCGAAGTGGCGTCAGACGTTTCCGTTAATCGGTTTGTTTAAAATAACAAATTCACCTTTAACGTTTCAATAAAAACGCTACCTAGTAATATCACTTCCGATGTTTACTGATCAGCAGTGTATATGTGATTTTATTATTCCGGATTTACTGTTTCTTTGTACGGAYTTTTAGTTCTTAAAACTGGAGAGGTTTTGAAAGCTAACACTGAAATGTTAATATTGAAAAGTTGCACAAATCATTGATTTCGTTTTAGTGTGCCTCAAAGAGACAGAAATCGAAGTCCACGTGATCCAATCCTAAAAATCCTTAGAATAGGATTAATAACTTGATACATGATACAAGAGAGTATAGATAAGGGACAAGGGACTGTTGAGGATTGTCCTAGAGCATCCCTTCGGGACAGGGGGATGGGAAAGACACCCTTTATACTAAAGGGTATAGCTAGGGACAAGGGACAGTTGAGGATTGTCCTAGGGATCCCTTGGGGACAAGGGGATGGGAAAGACACCCTTTATACTAGAGGGTATAGCTAAGGGACAAGGGACAGTTGAGGATTGTCCTAGGGATCCCTTGGGGACAAGGGGATGGGAAAGACACCATTTATACTAGAGGGTATAGCTAAGGTACAAGGGACTGTTGAGGATTGTCCTAGGGATCCCTTGGGGACGAGGGGATGGGAAAGACACCCTTTATACTAGAGAGTATAGCTAGGGACAAGGGACAGTTGAGGATTGTCCTAGGGATCCCTTGGGGACAAGGGGATGGGAAAGACACCCTTTATACTAGAGGGTATAGCTANAACCAGGCATATTTTTTTTTTACATTTAAAAAAATAGGATAGGATACAAAATACTAAAATCTTTGATTCAAGCAGGGTTGAATTAACTAAAAGGAAAACTACAAATTTCACCAAGCACAATGTAACTGGTGATTAAGTATATGCAATAAGAAGCGATTTTCTWCTGCCTACAGGTACTATTGAAAATCCAGCACATTGTTCTGATGTGTTTGTACAATGTACTTTTTTTTATCAAATATAGCAAAAAAGAGTCCTCAAAAATATCCACACTACAGTACTGCAGTAGATAAATTTTAAAATACCTTTGCCTTTGGTACATCAATTCTCGGTCCCACTGTCTTCATCAAGTAACACAAACACTCCATGTCTTCAGACGTGTCGGCCACAGATGCACGTTTCTTTTTGTCCAGCAACTAATTTGAACATGAATGTTTTAATAAAACAATGTAATCACCTTTATTGTTGACAATTATAAATCGACTACTAAACTGAAAATGTTGTGTCATCATTTAAAATAAAAAAAAACAGAAATGATGCACAACATCTTGYATGTTTAAATTGTCATGTTTCAAAGAAGATTTGAGCAACTTTGACCTASAACTGCCATTTGCCTACAGCAATTCGTATATAGCTATTTCAAAGAAGGTTGTCGGATAAAATGGCGAATGTCAATGGTCGAACGGCGATTGCAAGTCTGAAAGTAGCCATGAATTTTGCTAGTTGAAAGGCAATAACAAYTGATTTATACTGCAAAATAGTCCCGTTGCTTATAGGYCGTGGCAAAGAAACATTGGCCTCCATTTCTATGTAAGGTGAATCCAATAAGTGAMATTTTGTTTATGAAAACAGTRTAAYCAYAGTCCCTTTCRGTCATGCATTGTCCCTTCGACAATYGCCGTTCRCCRTTCTCCCCGACAACGTTTATTGAAATAGGTGTATACTGTGTACTGTATACTGCATACTTGTGATMCTAGCCTCAAAACAYTACTGACTTACTCATCRAGTTGTGTGTTGTGTGYATCAGTTTTACATGTAGGCAAGGTGTACATATAGGGGTATTTATGTAACATGTCTTSGAGCTCTTTAGTGTGTGTCCAGTTGTGCACTACAGCTGCATCGTGTACCGTACTAGTACCAGTGTACTGGACAGCTGCATCATGTACCAGTACCAGTGTACCAGACAGCTGCATCATGTACCAGTACCAGTGTACTAGACAGCTGCATCATTTACATGTTGCACCAGTAACAACTTTTATCATATAATTGTCTATCAAATAATTTGCTTTTATATATATAAAAGATCATATTAATTATATGATAAACAGAATATAACATGGTTGCTTGGAGATACGAATTTTTTATTCTCATGTTGAAAATCACTCAATCATGAGAGATCTTTTCAACATGAGAAGATAAAATTCTCCATGTGCCCATTTACATGTAGTATCCTCTATTTATAAATAAACTTGACTGGTCTGTACACAGTACTTGGTATTGTTATCGTTATAAATTCAAATGTTTCTTTACCTGTTTAATGCATTTGTGTAGAATAGTTTCGTGCAGCATGTCAAGCTTCGCCAGCTCACCTAAAMACAGAAAAACATCAAGGTCAAAACAAACTTGGCTGTGGAGCGTGCGGGGAGAGCGAAGGGGAGGATCTCACATATGGAAGGGTGGGAATGATTTGCATCTTTTAGAGGTAAACTCTTCAGATTTTCAAGGTTTTTGGGGCAGCACTACTGGATGATCTGGTATCTTTAAGGGTGTCCTTTATTTATATTACAACAATGTCAGACAGCTCATTAACTCATTCCAATTGGCTTCATCATTTAATCACATTCAATTATGTCAACAAGAGCTTTTAGTTGGTATATTTTAGGAGTGAAAATATTTTGCCACGCCTTTTTGGTAACAGCCTTATACACCCTTTTAATAAGTCCCGAGGTATTGTGTTCTCCGCACTTGACGTCAAATTTATTCTTTTGAATTCCTTTTGTATTGTAAAAATTTCAAAAGAATAAAATTGTCGTCAAGTGCGGAGAACTCGATACATGGGGACTTAATATTATAAGGGTGCATAAAATGTACAGTTTTGTATTTTGTATTTTGAAGAACAGACAGGAAATCACTAAAAAACAACAGCAACAATAACAAACAAATATCTTGTCTTACCAATAAATCTGATATTGCCCAGCATCTTGCGTTTGATGTTGCCCCTCTGCTCCTCCTCTTCCTGTGTGAGTGGACCATCTTTCTTATCAAAAGCTASAAAATAGAGAGTTTTAGATTCATACATATTTCGTAYGAGTGGGACAWCGTTACCGCAYGGTTACCSCACAATTACYGGACCTGGCCTTCAAAATTTTGGTGAACCAATGGGGCACTAGAATTTGGTTACAGTACGATTACGGTTACAGTACAGCACCGTCCGTTTCCTACTCATACGAAATCCGCTCTAAGTTCCGAATAATCATAATAATAGTATAGAGTGGAAAAATCCAATTTAACCAATAAAAGTATAGGGTGGAATAATAGCATCAGATTGGAAAAAAACAAAATTGCAAGGTATTTTTTTGCAAAATCGCTGATTTGTCCCCAGTCTCTGTCGTGATCAAATCCGCTGACCAGATGATTTGCAGTCTTAGTTTGCTGTTTGCTCGTGTTTTTTTGTTTTTTGTTTTATTTTGGAGACAAACTCAGGTGGTGGTCATGCAGCAATCACGCTTTAAAAATTGCAAGTGTAAATGGAAATGGGCCTGCTGAAGGGTTGAATTTATTGAAAACATGCAATTTAACAATATACACTGTACTGTCTAGATTCAGTACAAACATCCTTTGTTTTGATGCTGTTCTTGCTACACTACAAGGTCACCATGATTTTGTATTTCAGAAAAGTTAGTAATGTTTCATGGCATGATATCCCAGTTCAATAATTTACATTATGTATAATCAGACCAACCTTGACTAGCCTTGGATCTGTTGTTGAACTCTTCTTCACACTGTTTGAGTAGTAGGCGTCTGAATGTCTGTTGATTGCCAAAGTAGAAATAATTAAATTAGTAAAAATTTAAATAAAAATTTATACTGAAAAGAGTTCATTAGACAATATAGGGAAACAAAGAAATCAATTCTAGTCAGTTCAATTTTTTTGAACAGCATTTTGCTYATTTCTATGTTTCATGTTTCTATGTTTTCAAAAATTAACTATTTAAGTAACAATGCGCTAAAGAACTAGGGAACTCTCTATTGTTCTGCGGCATAGCAAGTTCCCCATGTACGAATGTCTTGGTTTTCACACTGATTATGTATCCATCTGTGGGTAACACATTTTTGAAATAAAATGTGGATAAACTCTATTTTGAAACAAAGTTTCTTTTGTATTAGAAGCTCTTATCCAATCATAAGCACTCAAAACAATAGCCAAAAGATGCTTCTAATTTGCAATGTTCCCCACATAGAATTGCCTTAATATTGAAGCTAAAGAAAGCTTTCATGAAAGCGAAAACAGACATTAAATAAAATATTGGAAAATTCGCTAACTTGTGAAATTATAGCAGATTTTTATGTTTTAACCAATGGCAGGATGGATGGATTATACAATGCGCAATTAGCACCTTCTTGCATTCCTGTGCCGTTTGCTTCCCTAGTTCTTACTCGGGGCATTACTTAAGATGCCTTAAAAGGCAAGACCAACGAGCATGCAGTTCAGACATATTTTGTGGATAGCATGATCATTCGTTATTTTCTGCATATAATAAGCAAAAGCTAGCAAAGGATTCTGGTTGGTCACTGCCCTTTATGTCCATATAATTTACATACCGAATTGCCAGTTTTTCCAGGATCATCAAAGTTTGGCGCCTCCTCGCTGAGCCGCAGGCACAGCTGGGCATACATAGAACTGTATTTAGGTTCATCGAGAGCCTTCTCAAACACGAGTAGTATAACCCCCTTTAATATGTACTTGGTTCCAATCCCAACATTGAGTAACTCGTAAAACAACTTGTCAAACTTATCAGGAGTCAGCTTGTTAAGAACACTGAAAAAAAAAAAGATCAAAATGTACATTAAATGAAAAAATTGAATGGGATAAAATGCAGGGTGATTTACCCTCCCCCGAAGCCTCAAACTCTCCTCCCCCACACCCCAACAACTAAGGTTGAGGGGATCAATGTTTGTGCATGGAAATATGGTGTATTTGGACWGCAATTTTGTGAATATGGGGAAATCGATGCCTCATCCTGGTTGGAGAYCAATGAGTCTATAATTTGATTTGTTCAAAAACTTCCATGTGCCATCATGCGGTACCAAGACCAATTTTCTGGGTCTTCCATATTCTCATACCCAGGCCCTTTTCATCTTTTGACCAGAATTCTTAGGCTCTGAACATCCTTAGATTTCAAACCAGGATTGGCTAATTCAAATAACAAATTGGCAAATATTGCAATACAAAGTATCAGTGTTTTTAGTTTTGTTGCCAAAATCCTCTTAAAAACCTGTTTTATCATTAAAGTAAACTATATTTTTCATTAAGTCAAAGCATGATGCCTATCAATTTGAAGACCAAAATACCCTTATTTCACCTGTTTTTTTTTTAAAGCAAAATCATATCAAAAATTGGCCTTYTATAAAAGCAGTGAGTTGACAAAGAAAGGATATTTCTGGAAGAAAATTCAAACTCTTCACAAACACTGTATTAAAAGTTGTTTTAGCAGCACACCTGAAAATCCAGGTTGTTTATGATTCTGTCTTTACCAGGGATTACGTGGGATTAACAATTCTGGGAGAGTTATATWAAGCAAAAGCAAGATTTCTTGCTCACAGTTTACATGGTGTCGCAGAGGCTACATATGATGGGCCGCTCTAGAGTAGGGTCTAGGTATGAGAATAGGTCTTCCAGTACTGTCTCCAAGAAACTTTTTTTATTTCGAATGAGAACTTATATAGCGTAAAAATTGTTTGGGTTGATTCTACAATGTACAAAAAAATCACAACAGTTTGACTTATAATTTTGTAGGCAAAAAAAAATGATTTTTACAATTTTAAAGTTTTTAATCTGATGGAGCGTCTGTGAATTTCATGATCGTGAGGAAACGACATTTGTTTTGAAACAAGATAAAATTTAATGATATTCTTTTTACGCGCGTGGAAATGCAATTSAGAAATCTGCACGAATAGTCCAATAGGTCACGTACCTACCAATAAATCGTGCACAAAAAAAGTCATATTTGACGTCAACTATATGCTCATTCTGATTCATCCGTAAAAATACTACAGTATAAACTAATAACAAAAAACAAGGATTTAATTACTATCCGTAATGAACGAAAAAAACCTATTGAGGTTTACCTAGAGTTTTATATAACATTGCAATTTTAGTTTTAATTCTGAAAATAATTCTTAATGAATCGGCAAAAAAAAAAGTCCTCGGCATTTTCAGAATACAAATCTAGTATGAGCAGTTTGAAAGTTTATATAAATATATACATAAGAAATATAAGAAAAGTCATAATTAAGAAAACGAAAATGTTTAAAAAAGCTTGTGTACTTCATACTTGATGTTACCATTTTCGATCAACATCAAAAAAGCGTTTCAAGTAATTTAGACAAATGTATCAAAAAAAAATTCTTAATCAATCGATTGAACATATTCTTTTTGAATAACAAAGGGTTGTTACATTGCGGTATTCTAAATAGATATTTACCCTCGAACACGTCGAAACACCAATTCATTTTCATCCGTAAGAGTGGAAGTACGATTATACGAAGGTATCCATCTTGTTCGTTCGGAAGCAGCAGAGGTTGTTGTTCCAGGGAGATTTTGCTGCGGATTTCGGTGAGTGTTCGTACTCGCTCCCGGAAAATCTAAAGACTTTCCTCTTTGTCCTTCCACTTTTGTAGCTTTTCGATGTTCCTTGGGGGCAAAATGGTGAAGAAAACCTAACCAACGTAAAAGAAAGAGGAACATATTCTTGAACAAAGGGATCGACAAATCGAGTGACATAACATTCCAAACTGTCTCATTTTCGCTAAWAAATCTGACAATTTTATAGATTGTGYCATAAATWRTGRTTGCTTCATGTACCCCTTGGTATTACAAAGCTRTTTTCTTACCAAAAAGAAGGAATATTTAGCTTGGTTTCGCGTGGTTTTTACTCCTTAGTTTTTTCTTGGTTTTCTGCTTGACTCTTTCTGATTGCCTTCCCGTAATGCACTTCGTTTTGTACGCTTGCGCCAAAAGCCACCACAGGGAKACCGTGACTTTCAGAATGAAAAAGAACCATCTCTCTACTTTTTGTTTTCATTTTTATTTGCTTTTTTTCTGTTCGTAATGTGAAGATTAACTGCGTATTACTTGCACGATATATCATGAAATCCCTTTTAAACCAAGCAATTCCATGCGTCTTCRGTTCCCTCAGTTAACAACATTTAACTTCGTTTTTGTTTCACAGCTGTAAAGCGAAAAGAAAAYGCTGTTGAACATCCGGTCGGAAACGCGCGCATTGCCGATGAATACCGAAAAGACCGAAAATGAAATATCTGAAAGTTCCGGAACAGGTGAGGTGGATAAGCCAATAAGAATTGTCACTTTAAACATTTATTGTTGCCATCGTTTATGTGGAATGAATAAAGTCTAGAAGTCTTTCTTTTAAAATGTTTCCGGGAAAAAAAATTGTCATCGGAAACGCACGTGATTCGATTCTYTCTCCCTTGATGCATATTATGGTCTAGGGGTGTGACGTCAGAGCACATGGGCACAGATCGCGGCGGTAACAAGTTCTTCATAGTATGCCAATTTCTTCATCGAAATCTTCCAACTCTGTACTGATCATGGAGACCTCAGATGCCTCGAAGACAGCTCTACTTCTTGTTGAGAAGAAAGTCCGTAATTTGGAGAAGAGAAAGGTACAGTTTTAGTTCGGAAATCGGTCTCAATTTKTGTATTAGTTTCGTTCGAATGGTTTGACACATGTATGCCTGTGTTGAACATGCATGCGACGAACCGCTATTCTGCCGTCGAATTCATAATGTTTTTCMCTTCAGATGAAGCTTGATGGCTACAAAAAGATGATGGACGGCGGACAAGAACTRAATGAAGATCAGAAGGTTGGTAATTTAGGATTTTCTTCTCCGTTAATGTTGAGTCACGTCAACGCCATTTTCGGGCTATTATTCTGTCATTCTGAACACATGCCTCACAACCAAGCATTGAAGCTACTAAAACGATTTAAATAGAAAGAGAAGAAATAAATTTGTGTTCTCTCAAAGTTTATAAAATGTTTTGTTCTCTAAAACTTTTATTTYATTTGTTTTAGAAAAAAATGTTCGATTCATCACTTCGCCCTGCTAATGAAATTAATATAAGCTTATAGTTGCGAAATAATCGATTTTGAGGGTGTTTTGAGCTAGTCACATGTACAAACTCTTGCATCTACAACTAGCTTAAGTATTYTTACGTTTATGTTGTACATGTGAAAAACAGAAGGCAAAATTGCGCTCCGCAATGCTTTGAGCGAAGAATTCAGTGTTCTTTGTCGTGAAACTTTGTATTTATTAACAACCCGATGCCATTCAAACGTCAAAATGTTTATTATTCMAGCTTATGTCCTGTCTAGACTGGCGTAAACCATTGATTGACAGTTTTGTTGATATTGTAATCATTTCTCTACAATGCACTTTTCTTGAAGTGTTTGTTTACATGTTTTTAGTTGCACATACAGTTTTATATTTGTAAATTTTTAGAAGGAATTTTTCAAGGTATAAACAATGACCACTGGATGAGATCTCAAAGTCTGCACATTTKTTGTCCAGTTGAGATATATTTGAAGACTGGAACAAGGTGCAAGGACTTTGAAATTGCATTTGACCCACATTGGATACCTTGAAACAACTGGAAGAGAATTAGAATTTCTGGTATAGATTTTACTGAAAGCATTTTCATACTTTTTGACATTAGAAAGCCATTGCAAACTTGGCCTCAGTGGAAATGAGTTTGGAGATGACTAAGGATTTGCATAAGCAATTTCAGCAGTTGCATATTGAGGTAAGTATATGCTGAACAAAGGGGTTTCACTGAATTTGAAATAAGGTGGTTGCATAAGACCATAAGCGCTACCATCGTAATCTTACAAAAGTGCTATGTTGCTGACAGTAATGTTGCCGGATTTTGAGTGTTGCCTGTTTCTAATGAAATTCCTTTGAACAACTTGATTCATGCAACTATTAATGTTTAGTGCCACCCTGCTCAGACATTATTGTACTTCTTTCTTGTCTTGTTCATTTGTTCTTCTTCTTATTTCTGCCCTTATTTTACCAAAGGCATAACGAAGTGTTAGTTATCAGTAAGGCTGCTCTTTTTCTAAGGTTATGTATTTTAATGATTCACTTGCACTATTTTTGATTAATTGTATATTTTTTACAGACACAAAAACAGCTGAAAAAGCAAGCAAGGCGTGAGCAGGTTGCCTCGCAAGCAGCTCAACACAATGCAGATGTAGCAAAGGTGTGTCAGGTTCTTGAGTTGCAGTCGTTGATGGACAATCTATCTGAGGATGTGAGGGCAGACTTCCTGAATGGAACAAATGGGGCAGTGGTAAGTATGCTATACTTTCCGAGGTAATATCATACAGGGCACTGTGCACAGATACATTCAATGCATTTAACTTATATACCAGTTGTATTGAAATCAGTATCCACTTGTCAGGCATGTCGGAATTATGCGCGGATGCGGACGCGCATAATTGTCCCCTTTCCGCATAATTTACCAAATCGCACATAATCGCGCATAATTCATGATTTTTTTCCATGTTATACCATTTTTTAAGATGAATTGCCTTCTTCTAATGTTTTTTTGATCAAAAAACGCTCCCAAACATGCTTATAAGGCCTTATAATTTTCCGAATATAGTTTTGTTTTCGTGGGCTTCACAAATGTACCAGGCGTTCAAAATTTCATCAGAAAAGAGTCTGGGCACTAGCATTATTGGTCACCCTGTGCCTTACCAGATCACATGACAAATAAAGCATGCAAGAACGAAAAAGTCTAAAAAGATCTTTCCTTCGGTTGGTACTGCCTTCTATACTTCGTAACTAAGATAAAAACGGAGTTTTGCATGAAAAACAAAGACAATAACTTAAAAATTTGTAAAACTTCCCAAAGTTTACATTCCTGTGATGATGTCATCCTGCATAATTTTCCGCATAATTCACCCTTTTCTCCGCATAATATGGGGGAAAATTTCCGCATAATTTTGTTTTTTTTCGCGTATAATTCCGACATGCCTGACTTGTACATTAAATAATTTAACACCAAAAATGAAGCTTCCTTGGCACGACAAGCAAATGTTCAATAGTTGTTGATAAGCATAATGTATATTGTAAGGCAATTGATATAATATCAGAAAGCTGAAACCATTCGAAAGACAATGGTCAATAGCCATTACTGTAGATAATATCATGTGGATTTAACAGGGTTTGCGCTACTCCTTGAAATCTTTGAAAAGTCCTGGAATTGAAAACTTGTGTTTAAGGGTGCTTGAAAAGCCCTTGAAAATGAGGAGAAAATGGAAAACTCCTTGAATCTGATAAAATTGACATGTTGCTTGTTACCTTTTGAATTGAAATATGGCTGTTTTTGAAAATCGCCATTTGAAATCTCCACAAACATTGAAAGATAACTTCAAAAAAAGTCCTTGACAAAAATCACATTTTTGTGATTAAAAAGTACTCAAAAAGTCCTGGAATTTTGTAGTGAAAATGTTGCACAAACCCTGATTTAAGAACAAATCTTACAATATCATGTATATTTCAGTAGCCAATCTGAATGCTGGACCTGTTATATATAATATAATTTGCTGGGTACTAACATATTATATTTTCCTTTATTTGTTCATTTAGACAGTGAAGGAAGAAGAGTTCGCTCATATTGACGACTTCTACAAGCTCATCACACCAGACTCTGAGTCTGACATTAACATGCAGAAACAGATCAAAGATGCCAGTGAACACATTATTAACTTGCTTAACAG